TAGGAGCGTACGAGCTTGTTGTTGAGCTGGGACACCTGAGAGAATAGCTCTTGCACTTGCGTGCGCAGAGACTCGATAACCATGGCTTGTGCATCTGAGTCGGCGCTGTGCGACTGCAGTTTGGTATCTTCACCGTTGGCACCACCAGGGACTACGGTCGTCTTCTGCTCGAGAAGATCTGCTTCTGCGTTGAGCTCATGCATCTCGCTGTCGATGGAGGGCTTTGGGCCGTGGGTCATGCTGTCCAGCCAAGCCGTACGGTGGGCGGGTTACCAGGAAGAAAGCAATTTGACAGATAGCAGAGAAGAAACAGTTAGAGTGTTGACTGTGTGTGACTAGCTTGAAGTCTCAGATCTCAGAGACCGAAGGAGGATGAGTGGGCGAGGCTCGAGAGCTCGATCGAGGATTCGAGCGTTGGTTGACAGAACACTGGACGTCACTTGGCCGGATTCGGCGAGCGTCAAAGACTTTGGACAACAGCAACAAACAACGATGCAATTCGAGCATATGTATTACTATGTAATGATGCAGTTGAACACTTCATGGCAACGTCATGAAGTTTGTTATGGATATACGCCTGTAGACCTGCTCTTGCAGACTTGGCTTGAGGCGGTCTAAAAGTTATCATGATAATGACCTAACGTCACCTAAGTGGGAGATTACACGTGACCAGAGCAATCGTCCACGTGGACTGCACGCGACGCGTGGTTGCTTCGCCCGTTGCCTGGCCCTTCAGCTGAACTCTTGCCTGCCTCTCAAATCCCCGCAGGACTCGTTTCCTGAAATCGACTCTTGTGTGAAGGTGTTATTTTGCTACTTTGATGACCAGAACAGCGACAACGCGCAACGCCCCTAGCACAACTATATCGCGAGCTTCATCCATACTGCTCTCTCCTTCGAAACGGCGAAGATTGGACAACGACGGTTCTTTCAAACCTACACGCGATCATTCATCAATCCACGACGAGAGACCTTTGCAGGATGAAGTGAAGCCAAGTTCGACGGATATACTGAAGTGGACCTTCACCAAGGCCGCCATTGCGCCATGTTTCGTGAGGGATGTATTTCAGATGAAGGAAAGTGGGACGAGAGGTGCGCAACACCACACTCTAGTTGGTACGAACTGTGCTTGACAAGCTTCAGATATGGAGTACTTCTGGCTCGGGCGCATTCCGTGTCGGACGGTGCATATAATCGGTCTTGTCGTTGGTGTGCAAGTTTGGGAGAAGCGTACAGTGTACACGATCGATGACGGAACTGCAGTCATCGACTGCGCCATTGCGCACGCACAAATGAAACCTACAAGTCCCACGAAACCACACAACAAGGCAACGTCCCCTACGAAGGGGCCAACGAAGCCAGGAGGACCCTCCTTTGCCGACTATTCACTGTCCGCACGCAAAGCCCCTGCTATACCGACGAACACGATCCTTAAACGCAAATCCAATGAACCTCCGCCCCCACCGAAGCCTGTAGCGAGCGTCGGACAGTCTGCGCGAATTGTTGGACGCGTTGTTTCGAGATACGACTCTCGATTAGTGCTTGTTGACGAGATCTGTGAGTTATACTTTAGCTCTACACCTGGACCGCCTTCGACTTCTTGTGTTCATAGCACGTTGCGCTTCATACAATGACGAGGCTAGTCACTGTGTGAATGTTGCTGAGCTACACCGTACAAGCTACTACCCACCCGATGCGATGCCTCCTTTCGTCCCTCCACTACCGCCGAAACCGAATGCTAGTGCTTCCCAATATCCATCTTCTAGTCGCCCTTCATCACCGTCGAAGCGAGGCGTGACGCAGGAACCTTCAACACCAGCATCCATCCGTTCTGCAGCTCCATCCACGACCACTTCGCCCGGCACATCTGTAGGAACGGCTTCACCCACCTCAACTACTGGTGAGGAACCGAAGGTGAGTTTTCTCTATGCTTTTTACGACTGCCCATTGAGAGGTGTGAAGGTACCGCGGCTGAGACATCCTTCTCGCCTGCACACTCGCGACCTCACTGCAAATACGTTCCGGATCTATGTCAAGCATTACATGGACAACGCGCCACCGCCAGCGCGCACGCGACGTGGTCACCACACGCGATCTGAGTCGCCTTCTCCAACGCCTAGGATGTCACAACGTCGTACACCGGAGGCTCTCACCGAGACGGACAGAACCGCTGTTGACTCCACTCCACGCCCTTCGCGCTCTTTCCGCCTCGCCGTTGACCGCACACCTCGCGCCTCTCTCGGGCCATCTGTCGAGTCTGAAGACGAAGACGAAGACGACCTGCTTGAAGACGATGGCCAGATGTACGGTTACACACTGTCACATTTACGCCGAGTCCCCGAACTCGGCCTGCTCGCACGTCGGGTAATCAAAGCGGACTCGCATCGTCGAGCTAAGGAAGAGCGCAAGAAGGCCAAACCTCGGGAGTCTGGTTCCAAACCGATACCCACCGCAGCAACACCATCGTCACACAAGCTCGGTGACTCACCCACCGGTCCTGCAGTCAAACGGCTGTTCAGACAAGCTATCCGGACGCTATTCTCAGAAGGCGACATCGTCCTCTGGAGCGGACCAGTACGGCCCTTGCCCGACCCTGCGCTCGAGCCCACCATCCCCGCTTCCTGCGCTCTTTGGAAAGCGAACTCGAGCATAGCTTCGGCGATGTCCTCGCGTTCCGGTATCTCGTACGAAGAGTGGGACGATGACGAGGTGCTGAGCGACCCTACTCCAGGGGAGGAAGCGTACGTCCCGCTCACCCCGGCCTACTTCTCCCGCGTCCTCGAGGGTGCGATCCGTGCCGTCATGGCGGAGACGAGCAAGGCCGGGGATGCAACCCCGAAGGCGAAGGCGTCTCGCACGGGGACGTCGCTCATCGAGCGGCTGCGCGCGCATGAGAAGACCGTGGGGCCGCCGCCGGGCCCGACGAAGGATGAACTACTGGCATGGCTGAGGAACAGCGATGAACGGTGGGAGAGGGTAGGAGAATGGACAGTGGAGGAAGGATTGATGTGGGGGAAGCGAGAGGGGCGATTATGGTGTGTTGGCAAGGGACGTTGGGAGGTGTGTGGGTGACAATATTGGTGAGCGCTTCACAGTAAATGTTTTCGGGATCCATGTTCATGCTAGCATGTTCTTTCACATAGTAGCAACCCTCGGCGACTTCGTTTTAGGAAGTTTGTCGTCGATTCCGGACTACGCTGGTCATATAACTTCACACTTCAATGCGATTGCGATTGAATACATCTATCTTGTCATGCTCGCACCTTGTCGTAACCACTTGGAGTATTACGATGCGACAGAGACTGTCGCATCCATGAAGTTCATGCACAACGGTCGTATGCGGTGTACTAAGCATCTCCAAACTTCTGCACAAACACCGTAACAAGACTCCTCGATACAACACCACTACCGATCTCACTCTTTAGGTGCGTGGTACCAGTACTCATGCTACAACGTCCTAAGGTTCTGACCTCCCGACGTTTACGCCACTGACCATTCGTTTGATCGCGTGTATCAGCTATAGGAGGCCTCCGCTCGGCCAGCAATAATCACCACGACGTTCCCGCCTAGATTGAACCGAGCTTACTATAGCGTCACAGCCGCATGCAGGCCGAGCTCGAGTCTCTCGAGCTCTGGATAAGCACTGCTTGAAACGTCCTTTCCTCTATGTCACGGTCGTTGCGGAAGCACGACGTCACTTATTTCGCGCTCTGACCCAATATGGTGTGTCCCCTTCCTGAAAAGCGCATATGGGTCGATGCCGCCCTCCTCTGTGAGCACATATATATACTGCAGGGACATTCCTCGTGAAACCAACAACCCTCTCTTCCGTCGCGAATCCTCATCCCGCAATTACTCAACATTCGACGTCCGACATTCACCATGAGCGCACACGGCACCGCCCCAAACCCCAGGTCCGGAAGATCCAATGCCCAAATGCATGCGCACGGACAGGGCGGGAGCCCCAGGGTACGTTCTTTGGAGTCATACATGAGCTTTGCATCGTCGTGACTGTTTTGCCAGACCCTTATATTGGGCACCGCTGCTGTAGCCGCGGGTCTTGGCGCCTTCTGGCTTCTTCAGTTCAAAGTGCAGAACCGTAGCCACAACTCCAACAACCCAGCAGAGATGCCCACTTGTGAGTGTTGGCTGTCCAATTGTGTTTGCGATTCAGGCGGCTAACGCATCGCTGCAGGGCAATACCGCCACGCGTCGCAGGCCCCCGAATTCAATGCTCGCATGAGCAGCCCTGGAGGCACGGAGACGGCCGTGCGTAACAGGAACGAACCTACTCAGTACAAAACCGCGATGCCGGTCGATTCCAAGCATGCTCCTGGCGGCGGCGGTGCGGCGTCCAGCGGTATGGTTCAAGCCCACGCCCACGGAGACGGTGGACGCGGGCTGGAGAGCGGCGCAGCGAGCGAGCGTGGTGGCGAGTCCGACCCTCGTGGTAAGGACAACCATGTTATGCGGAAAGGCGAAGATGGCTCTAACGACAAAGCCGTTCTGTCGTCAATTATGACCGCTCTTCATGTAGGTTACCATCGCGTCAAGGGAGGCCGACGCAGCTGACAGTCATACTTCAGGGTGACCCCAAGAAGACGACTCAAGACGCTGATGGCCATGTCGGCCAGCCTGCTCCAACGAGGCGGATGAATGACCGCGGCGGTTTCTACACTAAGGCGAGTCTTTTTCAGTGTCCTTAATGAATCGCATCGGTACGATGTCTTCTTCACGTAGAATTCGGATTATAAGGACGGGTTCCGAAGGGACTGAAGAGATGACATCGTCGAATTTTCTGCATTGCATTGTACTGTATCGTCTTGTATCATAGTGTTTGATCTACTCTGAATGTTGGAACGACGGGTGCCAGTAGTCTCATACCAAAACCCTCCCCTCACCCACATGAGGGCAAGCCCGTCATGTTTTACTATACAATACAACATCTCGATTTCACCGGCTACTACGAGCCATGTCTGCAAGGTTGGAGCCCACGTCACGGTGCTATAGTGTAGTGGTTATCACTCGGGATTTTGATGGTATATTGCCTTCCCGAAACCCAGGTTCGAACCCTGGTAGCACCTACGTCAGAAGAAGATTTTGTTGCGACCCTTCAATGATTGAGGAGGAACGGTGATCCAATACATTCAAGTCCGCCTTCGATTCGGGAACATGTTTTGCTTCGGTGTGTATCGCTGTGGCCCTCTATACTTCGGGGAGACAGCAAAGAAGGGGGTGCTATCGTGGCCCCAGTGTTCGCTACCGCTGATCCCGCCCTTCCCCGATAATCCTGGAATTTTATATGATACATCTCATACATACTATACATTCGATGCAAAAAGAACGAAGTTTCTACCCGACGCATCGGCCGCGATCTTGAGGGAACAAGTGGCACAACTCCTACTAGTTTGGACAAAGTTTGGATCTCTTCCCTGGGCCAGCATCTTGAGCGCCTCTCCCTATTTCTGCTACAGGCACTTATGAAGACAGATGGAGACTGTACGTTTCTCCGCCCTAGTAGTGAGCTTCAGTTCCACAGGACGAGGAAGTCCTTCTCGAGCGTGACATCAGGCCGTAGCGTTCACTTGAACTTCTGAAATCTGACAGTACAGGCGCTGATTAACGCGGGAGAGGGCTGTGAGCACCGTGACCTGGGCGTGACTTCGGGTCAAACCCATTAATATTGTTTCCTTGCGCCTCTCGTCAAACCCTCACGGATTCCTCTAAAAGATGGTATACATACTTCACAGTACAGTATCTGACTACCAGAAAACTTTGCAATTGGCTCAGAGTGGAGAGGGGACTGAGATATACCCGGGCGGAGATTTTTCCGGCGAACACTGGGGTCACAATAGTAGCGGGTTCAATGAATCCGTCCGATTTTGGCAATGTGTAGTACTAGTACGCATGATGCGTGATCAACAAACGATGTGTATACGATGATAGAATATCTAAGAAGGAGCGTGATCAGTTAAAATGTCTATACGATGATAGCATATCGAAGGAGCGTGATGAATAAGAAATGTCTACACGATGACAGTATACCTAAGAAGATAGAATCTACATAGGGTGTCTGATTAATGATTCGCTGGATGTACGGTAGAAGGGAACAGTATTAATATACATCTTGGGTGAAAGCGCTGGCAGGGAGAATGGATAGTCCGTGTGTAGGGGAAGACGCGAGCTGCAAGTAGAAGCTTGAGAAGGGATGAAAACTGCACGATTTCATGGTAAGAAATCGTGACATGTTACGGCCGCTGCATCAAGCGATGCTAAGCACTCACGCTATAGTGATACAAGCCGCTTCTTCTGAGAGTACAACCTCTAGTACTAGGCATTAGTAGTGAGCTCAAGCTGGAGTGAGTAGCGACACACCTATCGTTATGGTTATGAAACACTCAGCCGCAGCTCTGGACACGATAAGAGTGGGGTTGCCCGGCGGTCTACTTGCGACGGGGAGGAGACGGACGGAAAGATCCCGGCGGACCCGTCTGCCATTTTTACCGAAGTACCGCTCCGTTTCGAACGACCAGACGAGGTTGCCGATCATCCAGTCCGCGAGCCCGTCGATGTACACCTGTAGTTGGGCGTCGATCTCAGGTCCCCAGGACGGGAGGGCCTCCCTGAGCGTCTCGAAGCGGTCGATGCATCTGAAGCACAGGTCGCCGACGTAGTCGACCGCCTCTTGGAGCTCGAGGTTCATCTCGTTCTGTACGACAACAATCATGTTGTGCGTATCGCCTATATAGAGCGCAGTTGTCAGAAGGGGTGATGATGATGCAAGAAGCTGCCATAACGTACCGTTAGCCTGCTCGACGTTAAAGGAGAATATATCCTAGACGCAGTGGCGGGGTATTAGCACATACGCCACAGCATTTCTAAGGGTTTGCGCGCGGAGTTATGCCGAGAAGACTTACGTTCGACCACTAGACGAAAGGGGCTTGATCAGTACACGAGTCGCCGACATGGAAGTCTAAACTTACCGTGACTAAGTCATTGGCTGCTTCTCCGAGGCCCAGAACGCTGGGATGCTCCATCACGCAGTCCGGAAGATCAAGCTGCCCCACGGTGAGCCACGTCTTCGCGCGGAGGCTATAGAGAGGCTCGGCACTCACGTTGTTCGCGTACTCAATCAACGCCCAACAGGGTTTGCACCCGCTTGTGTCGCGTCGCATGGCGATGTACGACTCGAGGTCGGGGATGTTCCCTGACGCGCGGTCCTTCGCCTGCTGCGTGACTGCGCGGAAGAAGAGGTCGAAGGTCTCGATGAAACGTCGCTGTGCGCCGACGGACCCGGTGGCCGTCATCCGGCGCCAGAAGCTGTGGAAGCAATACGGCCGTTAGCCTTCCGCTCGGGACGACGGAGTCACAAGAATGATGCATAGGAAGCCTGCCACGAGGATACTCACCACTGGGTCAGCCTGCCGACGGCGGATGATGGCCGAAAGCCGTGCGGGTCGCGCAGAGCGCCGATGACCTCGCTCTGCGTGCTGACCGTCTTGCGGTCGTCCATCTCGTCGCAGATGTTGTCGAGGTGGAAGAGGTAGTTGATGTAGTCGCAGCACACCCGGAGCTGATCGTACTCCGCGAGCGGGTAGCACATCGCGGTGAGCAGGCCGCCCTTGAGGCCGTGGAACGCGCCGCGCTTCTTCTTGCTGAGCCGGCAGCCGGCGAAAAGCCACTGTTTGGATTCTTGCGACGCGAGCTTGCAGTTCGGGTTGATGCGTAGGGGGAAAGGGCATGCTGAGATGAGGTCGGGAAAGACGAGCCTCGTCCGGGTGTTACGAGAGGGGACGACGGCCATTATAGTCTAGAAAGAGGGTGTTGGACGTGAATAGAGTAAAGGGGTAGGAATGGGTGGTAGGATAGCGAAGTACAGCGTTGAAGCTTTGAAGGTCGGGCGAACATGACGAGAAGACACGTAGGGCTTTTATGTCGCTCCTGGAGGCCAAGCACAGGTCGTGCGGAGCAGGCTAGCCACTCGGCAAGGGTGCCCGCAATATTCGCTAATATTCGGTGGAATCTAGGAAAGATGGCATTGGGTGCGGCCACCGTGCGGGTAGGTAGCCTGCGGGGCGCTGTGGAACTCGTAAGCGACACCGATGGCCAAATGCGGGCGAGCTTGACGACAGCGGGGGGGCTCGCTCTCGGCATGAGATTCTGCACAAGTGTTTCAGATAGGAGGTGTTCACAGAAGGGTCTCGGCTAGCGGGTGAAATACAGCAACTGCGTCCGGATGACAATTCTATAATCAGCTGTGCGGCGGTCTTAACGGGGGAAGAAAAACTGAAGAGAAGCGCGACTCACTTTACGGTCATTGATGTCAATGCGCACTTGGCAATGCGGGTATAACCTAGAAGCAACGGGCACCGCGTCTGTTAGCACAGACTCCCAGGGGCCCGTAAATGGTCCTCGTAGCAACCGTGACTCGGGTATATTATCTAGGGTCAGGGTTCGACATTCACCGAAAGGTCCCGTCGACGCGGGGCGGCCTGTTAGTGCATGCGAGTATGTACATGCGTCATCACGAAGCAGAGCGTATGGCGGTCCGGGTCAAACCAAAGAGACTTCTAGCTTCTTCGTGCAGTTCTAGAACAGGCATACAGAGAGCTTGGCAGCCTCAGTGTCCGACCGGTGGGAGCTATGATGCCATGGCAGGAACGGGATGAGTCAATGGCCGACTCCCGAAGGTGAAAGGAGAATTAGACACACCCGGGCAGAGATTCGGAAATCTCCTACAGATCTCGGGTGGATCTGTGAGAGGTTCTCTCGCAAAAAGTCAAAACCGTGAAGGGTCGCTCTCATATGTGATATGAACGTGAGAGAGACGGTGGTGATGCCCCGTAGTCGTTGTCTTCATCTGCGTTGTTTGACCTTTCTGTATCTTGCGAGTCAGTATATGGCTGATATTTTCGACAATGTTGGTGTAAGCAGCACTCACGAGGAGAAGATTAAGAAGGCGGTCATGGGAGTACACAGCTGACGTTCCGTTCGAGCGGGGCGGCTTCCCGTATACGAGAGTATGCGAAAATGAGCTCGCATCATGTTTGATGGAAAGCGGGTTAAGTACTTCTTTGACGCCAGTGTGAAGGATAGTGGGGTTCCTGAGGCCTGATCGCTCGGACGCTCTCTGTGTGTGCACGAAAATCCGGGGCGAAGTTCGGCATGAGGATAGAACCAGGATAGAACTATCAACAGATGCTCCGCGTACTCTCGGGTGCTCACAGATTATCGAGACCGAAGAATCAGGTTGCGGGAGTTTGTGGGTACAGTACTCATGTTGAAGATTTTTCTCGTGCAATTGTTGCTCACTGCATGCCCATGAGTTGGGCAAATCAATAGAGTCACCCACGGACTCGGAGCCGGCCGACTTGGAGATTGTTAAGCCTAGACCATGGACTTGGGCGAGCGTAACGGTACTTACAATCTCGCGTTGCGCGACCTCGTTACTCCCCCTGGTCTGCTGGGGGATAATTACTTGAAGGGGTTGCTGTGTCGTAGTGGATCTGAGAAGTAGATCTAGTGCTTACGCATCCGTTATTGACTCGCTGATTTCCATCCCGTACAAGCAGGTACGCAGCGTTCAAGGTCGTGCAGCGTGCTCAACCGTTGATCGGATGCTTAGCAACGGATGCGAGGGCGTCCCCACATGGCCGAACAGCTTGTGCAGCATTTGACGATTGGTGACAGGTGTTGCGCCGAGTGTTACCCTGAATATTTCCGTTGCCAGACGGACCCGCGCATAAACAACCGACGAAGTAACGCAGAGGGTACAACCAGGTACGACACTCCCACTGGTTGCCGCTGATATCTGGAGGCGGGCAGATCGCAGCCACCCAGAGATGGTCCTGCGAGAACAATAATGCGAGAAGACCCGTGTAAATGGCGGTGCGAGAGGATCCGGATCAGGGAGATCGCAGTCAACAGTGAGGTGCGAGGTAAAGCCAGGGTAAAGCCGTCAAGCGACAGCTATTAATCTGGCGGGAGGTCGGTCAACACAGGGTAGACCGGGTTGAGGATTCCGAAAAATCAACGACTCACAGTCATGGGAGGAATGTCAGCTCCCGCGCCATCAATGGGAGAG